TGTCCCTGAGAGCACTTCCGCCGGTTCAGCTGGCGCGGGGCCCTCTGCCCCGATTCGGGGCGGACTTGAGGGCAGGGCGGTCGCTCGGCCAGCGGAACGGGTCGCTCCCAACGCACCTCGCGCAGTAGTTTCGTTTGCCTACGGCCGGGAACAATTGAACAGGAAGCCGAATGCGCCCAAGGTGTTCCGCCCTATCCTGGCGCTGTTGTCGGATATATGGAACTTGCAGTTTCCCGGCCCCCCATGGGATCGCGTTGACCGATCGAAGAGCGCCGCGCCGAGCGCGCGACTTTTAGCCCCGCCAGACGGACAGCGACAAATCGGTCTACATTTTCGAGAGCGCGGCCAAAATGACCGCCCAGGAATTTCAGGACTCGGTCGGAAATAGTAAGAAGACCCACGGAAGTCATGATTTACACGAGGGAAAATGCCCCAAGTCAGGAGCATGTGGTTTTCGAGAGCGAGGTGACCGATGGGCGTAGAGTCTTCCCAGACGGTGTTGATTTTTACCCCCTGCACATCTCCTGGGGGGCCTGATGCGGGCGCGGGGGTCTCGGGCCCGGGGAGCGCGCCTTCCAGCGTGGTCGTCGACGCGGGAGGTGCCGCCGCCAGCCCGGCCGTTGGTTCGCCAGCCGCCGCCAACGGACCACCGTCGGTGACGCCTGCCCCCAAGTTCGCGGACCCCGATGCGACCGTGCGCGACAGCGACATGCGCGCGGACCTTTCGTCCGCTATTATGGTCTTTGGACGCTCTTGCCCTGTCGCCCGCCCGCCGCCTCCCGAGGAGACTCGCCCGCCGCGGGAAAGCGATGATGACGCTGAGGATCACCCCCAAAAGGCGCACTTCGCGACAGAGGAGAGAGGCGTGCAACCTGGAGCGGGGAAGAGGAAAGGACATTAGGGGTGATGACATCATTAAACAAATCCTTGAACGCATTAAAGGACAGGTGGAGTGGGCGCGCGCGTCGGGGCCAGTTGCAGCGGACAGGTGGGCTCTTCGATTCCATTTGTTCCAGTCCCTGCGCGGTATGGCACGTTCTCAGGAGGGCCTGATCTTCGCTACGTTGAAGAGCCTCCCACAAGAAGATCAATTACATACGGCGCGGTACAATTATACCAAATGGGGGCCACACGAGATCGTTGAGAGTGGATGGGGGGACATATTCGAGAGGCTCGAACCGATTGTACTCGGAGTATCCCCTTTACGCGATTGCACGTGGAGGGGGCGATGAAGATTTCTGCATTTTTAATGAGTGAGAGGAACGAGGAGGGAAAGCCAAACTGATCGGCGAAGTCATAGTATACGTACTGCGACGCTCCACTTACGCCATCGCGAGTTCTTCGGGGAAAACAGAGATCGAATGTCTTGCTCCAGAACAACATATGATTTTCGACTTAATGAGAGCTCCCGCATAGTCCGGAGCTGCCCCCCGAGACAGCGCGAGCTGCCGCGTCGACAGGGGTGACTTTTAGGCCCCCGCCCACGGGCATTGGGAACCCGCCGCTGCCCCGCAAAAGGACAGGAACTCGCAAGGATGGCTCGCCCGATCCGGTGCGTCTTGCCCCTGAGAGCCCTTCCGCCGGCTCAGCTGGCGCGGGGCCCTCTGCCCCGATTCAGGGCGGACTTGAGGGCGGGGCGGTCGTTCGGCCAGCGGAACGGGTCGCTCCCAACCCGCCTCGCGCAATAGTTTTGATTGCCGACGGCCAGGAACAATTGAACAGGAAGCCGAATGCGCCCGAGGTGTTCCGCCTTATCCTGGCGCTGTTGTCGGATATATAGAACTTGCAGTTTCCCGGCCCTTTCATTGGATTGCGCTGACTGGTCGAAGAGCGCCGCGCCGAGCGCGTGCGACTTTTAGCCCCGCCAGACGGACAGCGACAAATCGGTTTACATTTTCGAGAGCGCGGTCAAAATGACCGCCCAGGAATTTCAGGACTCGGTCGGAAATAGTAGAAGACTCACGGAAGTCATGATTTACATGAAGGAAAAACGCTCCAAGTCAGGTGCGCGTGGTTTTCGAGAGCTAGTTGGTCGATGGACTTAGAGTCTTCCCAGGCGGTGTTGATTTCTACTCCCTGCGCATCTCCCGCGGGGGCCCGACGCGGGCGCGGGGGGCTCGGACCCGGGAGGTGCGCCTTCTAGCGTGGTCGTCGACGCGGGAGGTGCCGCGGCCAGCCCGGCCGTTGGTTCGCCGGCCGCCGTCAACGGACCGCCGTCGGTGGCGCTTGCCCCCAAGTTCGCGGGCCTCGATGCGATTGCGCGCGACGGTGACAAGCGCGCGGACCTTTCGTCCGCTATTATGGTCTTTGGGCACTCTTGCCCTGTCACCTGCCCGCCGCCTCCCGAGGAGACTCGCCCGTCGCGGGAAAGCGACGGCGACGCTGAGGATCACCCCCAGACAGCGCACTTCGCGACAGAAGACAGAGAGGTGCGCAACCTGGAGCGGGGAAGAGGAAAGGAAATTAGGGGCGATGACATCATCAAACAAAGCGTTGAACACATTAAAGACAGGTGGGGCGGGCGCGCGCGTCGGGGCCAGTTGCGGCGGACAGATGGGCTCTTCGATTCCATTTGTTCCAGTCCCTGCGCGCCATGGCGCGTCTTCAGGAGGGCCCGATCTTCGCTGCGTCGAAGAGCCCCCCACATGAAGATCAAGTACTTGCGGCGCGGTACATATGTGCCAAATGGGGGTCACACGAGACGAGATCGTTGAGAGTGGATTGGGAGACATATTCGAGAGGCTGGAACCGATTGAAATCGGAGTATCACCTTACACGATTGCACGTGGAGGCGGCGATGAATATCTCTGCGTTCAAAATGAGTGAGAGGAACGAGGAAAGAAAGCCAAACTGATCGGCGAAGTCATAGTAGACGTACTGCGGCACTCCACTTACGCCATCGCGAGTTCTGGGGGACGGTGCTACTTCGCTACGTTCCTGACCTGTTCGGTAAGGGATGGGTACTACTGCACGCTCTCGTTGGCAACGCACGCATTGTCGACACTTCCGCCAGACGCAGTTCGAATCGTCGGGCTCACCAATGAAAGCGCCGGATACGACAAGGCTGGCATGATCGGTAACTAGTGGAATTTGATGTATGATTCCATGTTCTGGCGATGCATGGCGATAGTGAAGGACGCTACCATGGTCAATATTGATCACAGCCAATCAGGGACACTCTGTCCCAATAGTTGATATAGAACGGATGCATATACATGCGACTACCATATACATGTCCCAGAAGCATGGGCCGTTGTTGCACGTCGCCACGAGGGATGCGATAATCCGATCGCAACGTGGGGAAAACATGCAAACCGGAGGGGAGCCATGGTTTGTTGAGTTGCCCTGTTGTAAAAGTCAGTAGTTCCCGTCCTACCGCCGCCGATGAGGTACTGGTTGAAATTGCCCACTCGCTCCCCGACCAGCGCAGCTGGTCGGGGCAGGCAGCCAGTCCCGAGATGGTGCCGACGACAAGGTTCCGCATTGACATGGCAGAAGGTCAAAAGGATGACGTCATTAATTCGCTTGTTGCGGGAAAGTGTTTGGACCGTTCGCCCAATTCACAGTAAAGGGGCGGGATGGCATCATGCTCTTTTTCCATGAGAACATCTATTACGATAACAAAATTCGGATGACCCCCGACGGTTCTGCGGTCTGTGAGGAAATTGTAAAACAAGCGGATATTGACAATATGTTTTTTTGTGCCCGCACAGGAAATAATGACAGCGTCCCGTTATCCATGAGCGACGCAAAATTCATGATTCTTATTGGTCACAAAAAAATCAATTTTGATGCGTACGACATCATCGTTTACCCACAGTCCGATGAGACGATCGTCACCAACCTCGACGGTTGCCTATTTGCACGTCCGTGGACTGATGACGGAAGGCATATTTGCATGCAATTGCACAGTTAGCGCGCCAATATGGAAAATGCCAGCACTGCAACATTTTGGTGGAACGATGCCCGAACACTTGTGATTACCAGGACAAGCCGTCAATCGAGAAAATTGACATGTTGTTCCAAATCCGGAACGCATCGAGATGGATCGTCGGCCCAGATAGAAGCTGTCCGAATCAGAGCGAACCGAAGATGCAAATCAGACGTCCTCAGCAAATTCATCCTTCGAAGATTGCCCATACTAACCTTTAAATGTACGTGAAGCATCAGAAACAATGGTTCAACGAGTACCTCAGGACAGACAAGTCGTTGGCAGGTGCGACGTGTCTGGCCAAGGAGACGCATGTGCTTCCCCCGTGGACGGCAGGGACAGATGACAGCATACCACCTTTCAGATAGGATCAGCATTTCCGTTTTATTGAAACGCTCAAGAAGGTTCTTTTGCATGCAAGTTTTGGAGGGCTGGCAATGCCAAAGTATCACAATGGTGGGTTGTAGTTTGGAAACATCTGGACCCTTCGGAGGCACCGATGAGATGCCCACCACTCTGCGCTTTCATTTGGACACATGTGGAAGACAGCGAAACTGAGCCAAAAGAAGGATGACAGCCGTGGGAAGACAAGCTCACTGCAGATGGAAAGGGTCCTCCAACCGCAACTTGGCCGGTGCGTGAGTACGCAGCCAGTGTGAAAGACACACAGTGCGATCCGAATCCACATTTTTACTGGAACACCCGATTCTCAACGCGAAGGCCCTGAAGTACTTGCCGCGAGGCCCATACCATACCATTATCGTTTAGTTCCTCTTTCGCCGGGAGGAGCGGTTCTCTGGCGAATGATTGGGGCAGGGATCAGCTCGAGGCTGGTTGCCTCCGTTTTCCTGGTTCGCGTTTTCCCTTTCCTTGGCATCTCTCGGACGCGTGCATTTGCTCTCGGCGAGGTCCATCGAGGGGCATCCTGGATCATCCAGCGAAAAATGCATGCGCGAAGTGGACGTCCGAACGATGGCATGCTTCCTGCCGCCCTAGCAAGACGCTCGCTGGGAGGGCGGGGCGGGTCCGCCTCGACCCGCTAGCACTGCCAGTCTTCTTTCTTCTGCAGGCGGAGGGCAGCCAGCTGACGGCGTGCCTCGGCTACGGCGCCTTCTCGCTGCTGGCCACCCTCTACCTGGGCGCGAGCATCGCCAGCGGCAAGGCGCAGATCCTGGCGAGATACTACCCCGTGATGGCGCTCGTCGTTCGCGGCTTCCCGCTGCTCTTCGCGTACTCGTGCACGTTCCTGGGCGTCCCGCTGTGGCGATGGCTGAGGCTGCGGCGTGCCAACCTCGAGATCGCCGCCCGGAACGAGTGGCGGGCAGAGCAGGCGCGCGCGGTCGGGCGGCGAGATCGCATCCTCTGGGCTCTCGGGGGGGGGGGGCCCTCGCCGCCACGGTTGACGTGGCTCGGGGATGGGCCAGGATGGGCCCCAGCAGGGTTCTCGGGGCCACTCTTGGGCATGGGGGCCCCCCCCGGCGGTGCGGTGACCACGCCGTGCGGTGACCACCGCGCGGGTTGAGGGCTGTGGTCGTTCTGCGAGGACGTTTCGAGCGACTGGGGCCGCCAGGTTCACAAAACTGTGCGGTGACGGACCGTGCGGTGGGATATTTGGGGGAGTTCCGAGACCACCACGCGTTCGGTTTGTTTTGATGGAAACCTTGAATTTCATCATCTTTTTTCGGGGGGGGGGGGGGGGGGGGGCGTTTGGCGGCTATTAGCAGCGACTCGGGGGTGATTGGTGGGCAGTTGATGCGGGGAGTTTGCCAGCATTTGCCGCTGATCCGCCAGCATTGTGACTGAGGTAGGCTTCCATAGCAAACGAACGTAGCGCACGGTCTGTCACCGCACCGCTTTGCGACTCCCAATGAGCGGGCCCTGGGATACGCTGGGCCGCCACCTGAGGGCTGGTCTTCTGCAGGCTGGCGGCGCGGGGGCGCAGAGATGATCGCGAATCGAGGGCGCGATTCGCGAAGTGAGGTGGCCGAGTAAGTCAGGGGAAACAGGTACCCATACCGCTCCCCTCCCCTCGGTTTCGCGATTTTTGGCCTCTTGTGAGGTCCTCGTCGCCACCGCTAGATTCGCATCGAAGTTCTGGTCAGAACACACCCCGGGAGAGGTCCGGGGAGTAGCGGTATTGGTACCTTATGGCTTTGCTAGCAATTACGCGGCTCGGGGCGTTCCGGGCGCGCTCTGGAGCTGTCAACTGCTCGTCGCGCCCTCTCTGGCGCCGCTGGCTCTCGGAACATCCGAGCTCGATCCAGACCCGACGTTAGCCATCCTGACGTCGCCGCCGTATCGCGGATGATCGGCGATGCGTCCGACGCCGCCCGTTATGACCCCGCTTGGGCGGTCTCCAGGGAGGGGCAGGTTTGTCTTACTCTCGGCGCAGGGGTGCCGACGTGGGTTCAGGGGTCGAATCCCCCCGCTGCGAAACCCGCATGGATCCTTAGTGATCATCGTTTTGATGGGAGATGTTTCGTAAATATTATTTCGTAATGCTTCATTCGTAAGGGCATGTGTTTTATCAAGGGATCCTGAGTCAGTTTCCCTTTAGTGGGGGATCCTTAGTTAGGATCAGAATGTCTTTAGTAAGCGTTTGCAAATCGGGACCCCTTGATTGAAGAGTCCTTCGTATGGGTCCCTTCAATGAAAAGTCCTTAGTAAGAATGTCTTGAAGAAGGACTCCATCACTGAGGATCCCTGTAATAAGGATTAATTTCGCATGCTTCCTTTACTAAATGCCCCTTTGTACGACTGCCTTTAGCACGGGGTCCTTCATGTTCATGTTTTTCGCAAGGCCCCCTGAGGGATGATTATTTCAGTGAATGTCCTCTCGGTAAGGAACCGTGTAGTCATGTTCCCTTGCGACTACTTCCCTGTATCTATGGTTCCGTAAGGGGGGTTCGGGTTCCTGAGCAAGGATAATTACCGTCAGTGAGGGGCCCTTCGTACGGATGCCTTTGGTGATATCTCCTCAGTGGGAATGCCTTCAAAGCATACCTTCAGCAAGGACCCCCTGTAGTAGGGACTCCTTTTGTAGCACTTCTCTTAGTAAGGGGAATATAAATGTATGACTTCTGTGAGGAATCCCGAGTACGGTAAGGATGCCCTTAGTACGTGCACCCTCAGAAAGGATCCATGGAGTAAGGATTCATTGCTCATGAGTCTTCCAGTGAGGCCCCTTGGCAATGATGCCTTTAGCCAGGGATCCGTTGTACTACTGCTTTTCGATGGGCCTCCCTTGGGGGGGATTCATTTAGCACATGTCTTCTCGGTAAGGACCGCTGTAGTAATGAGCCCGTGCTGCTTCTCGATGTAGTATTGGTTCCTAAAAGAGGACACTGGTTCCCGGGCAAGTATATCTCATTGATGGATCACTGGTGCGGGTGCTTTTAGTGAGGCCCGGATATTGGGGATGGCTGTAGTAAGGATCCTCTCAGTAACCCCCCCTTGTAATAAGGACTCATGCGTAATACTTCCTTCAGTAAGGGTTCCTTACGATGGATTCCTGAAGTACTGGGTCCCGAGTGCGATGCGGATGCCTTCAGTACGAATCCCCTCAGTCAGGACCCTGTAGTCAGGATTCATTGTTCATGCGTCCTTTGGTAAGGGCCCATAGGTATGCCACCTTTCCAGAATGATGCCTCGTGAGAGCGCTTTTTCTGAGGTCGCCATGGGGATGATTTCTTTAGTAGCGGCCCTCTAGGTGAGGAGCTCTGTAGCACTGGTCCCTTACTACTACAGCCTGTAGTAATGGCTTCTTGAGAAGATGCTGGTTTCTGCGCAAGGATACCTCACTAATGCATCTGTGTTTGCGGATGCTTTTAGTGAGGTCTTCTTAGCGGGGATGTCGTTCGTAAGGATCCAGTCAGCAAGAGCCCTCCTGTAATAAGGACTCATGTTTAATACTGGCTTTAGTCGGGATCCCTTGCGATGCATGCCTTCTGAAAGTGGTCTTGAGTAAAGAGTAGTTGGTAAGGATTCCTTCGTCATAATACTTGGCGCGTAAAGTGGTAGTGGGAGCAGCAAAACATACGCTTGCCAAAATATGTGACACGTTGTTCTCCCCTCTCCCCCATGGAAATCACCGCCGCCACTGGACTGGGACTGCAGGCACGGGCGCGGTCTCCGCTGGAGGACAGGGTCTAGATCGTCCCTTCAGTGAGATATGCTTAGTACATATTGTGAAGGCCTTACGGCCAGTGCCGCCGACCCTGAAGACGACGACGATGATGACGTCAACGACCACGAAGATTACGACGACGACGACGCGATGTTGGATCTGCCCCGGAGGAGGAGGCGGCGGAGGAGGAGAAGGAGGAAGCGGATGAGGAGGAGGGGGAAGAGGAGGGAGGGGGGGTGAGGAGGAGGGCGAGGTTAACGATGAGGGCAAGACGAGGAGGATGAGGAGGAGGACGTGGAAGAGAAGGGAGGAGGAGGAGGAGGAGGACAAGCTAGGTGCGCTACCGTCACATCTGACGTCCTGCCCCTTTCTCCCATCCCTTCCTATGACGTAGATGTCTTATCTTTTCTTACAATCGGATGTCGAACGGAGCAATGATTCCAAGAGGGTACGCGATGGATGGAACAGCATGGCGAAGAAGAGCACGGCAGAGCATAACAGGTCATAGCATGGTGTGGCATTGCGTAGTGAAGCATTGCATCTCAGAAGCCGGGCAAGGGCTGCTAAATCCGCGGCTGCTAAAATCGACATCCAGGAAGTTGTCTTCGTCCTTCGGGAAGAAGCCCGTTGACTGTTTCGCGTGCCGCGCCTCATTCCGGGAAGTTGTTTTTTTCCTTCTGGGAGGGCCGTTTTAGCAGCCACGGTTTTAGCAGCCCTCGCCCAGTTTTCGAGCATTACGAAGCATAGCAACGCAAAGCATAGCATCGCACAGCGGTGCACAACACAGCATCGCATTGCATGCCGTGGCACGGCGCCGGATGACTTGGAGGGTAAGTGGCCCGTCTACGCGAGGACGGTGCTTGTCGGGAATGCGGCGCCGTGTCATCCGCAGCCGTGCCTGCCCGATGTGGGCGCTTTCGAATGCCAAGTGTCGTCCCGAGGTGCGGGAACGAGGCCAGCGCTGCAGCGGGAGCACGACTCTGAATGGTCGAAACGCGGAAATGAGGACGGCGTTGCAGCGGGAGCACCGTTTTGGAAAAAACACGAAACGACCGGCTTGAAAAAGAACACATGGGAACACAACAGATGAAATCTTGCATACCAAAACAATACGCGAAGAGGGCGGGAGACTCTCCAGACAGAGTCAGGGGGCCTCCTGCGCTGGCCAGCTAATGGGCTGGTCGTGCGGTTGTCCCCTCCAGGGTGGACGGGGCCAGAGCCTGCGGAAAATCGGACATGTGGGGGTGGAGGAGGGGTGAAGGGAGGAGGGCCAGTGCAAGCCCAATATTCATCGACGATGTCGAAATACACCATCCCTCTAAGATCCCTCTTCATAGGCCTACAGGGGGTCATTCCCACATTTCCACTGAGGGAACTGCCCCGTTGGCAGACACCCGTGTGAACATCTTGAAGCGTGCCAGCACCATTCTCAGCCCTTCAGCTCCACGAGTGTTGAGCTGATTTTGGGTCTCGGCGATCATGGATCGTGCCAGAAAACCGCTCCTGGGATTTCAACACCGCGACTCAGCGCAACTGGTTCGCCCTCACAATCCTGAACCGCTCCAACACATTGTTTCTGGTACGTCAACCATGAGGAACATTGAAACTCTAGCAGAATTGAAAAAACGAATGTGGGCGGCGCTACGGCGAGAGCCTCATTTTGAAAACGAGCCGCCCTCAATCCGTGAAGCTATTGCAATGTTTGTGAACGAATGTGCGTGGCGCTAATGCGAGAGCCGTTTTTTACCTAACAGCGAAGACTGATAGGTTTCTAGTGGGCTCAAAAGAGAGCATCTTGACTCCCCAGGGGGGTCTGGGCGGGTGCCGGGAGAAGCCGGGGAACCCGGGGACACCCCAGGATTCATATAGATTCGAATAGTTTCTTATGGATTCCTACTCTTCGTGTTCCCAGAACACCATTCCCAGGCCACATTTTGAATGCTCAGAGCCAACTGTAGGCCACTTCGTGTTCTTCGTGTTCCCAGAACACCATTCTCAGGCCACATTTTGAATGCCCGGAGCCAACTGTAGGCCACTTCGTGATCTTCGTGTTCCAAGAACACCATTCCCAGGACACATTTTGAATGCCTGGAGCCAACTGTAGGCCACTTCGTGTTCTTTGTGTTCCCAGAACGCAATTCCTGTACCATATTTTGATTGCCCGGAGCCTACTGTGGGCCACTTCGTGATCTTCGTGTTCCCAG